CTAGACAGCGTGCGCAAGGCCAGTGGAGGTGGGGCACAGGGAGAGCACTTCTCCCGCCTCTCCTCCCCATGTCTGTCTGCTGCGTCCTTGCCCTGCTGTTGGCTGAGTTTACCCCCCGTTGCCTTTAGGAAAGGCCTCTCCTGTTCGTTTAAACCAGATTTGACCTGATTTAAAAAAGGAAATGCTTTACTGAGATGTTAGAGAGTTAGGTTGGGAATGTGAGAGGCAGTAAGGAATTATAGAATACATTCTCAGTGTGCCGAGCTGGTGTGGTGTGTGGTAGAAGAAAATGTATGAGGATTTGGTTTCAGGTAATGTCACTGGGAGCTTTGTGGTTGTGGATCTCATGATTAAAAAAAATAAAACTTGCATATCATAAACTGTATTTTCTGAAACAGTAAGTTTAAAATTTTTTTCTATAGTTGAACAGTTTCTATTAAGAAGGGAATAGATGAATAGAGGATGTTTTTCAGGAACATATTCTTTTTAAAGTGGATTTGATCTCTTCTGAGTATGGTTGCGGGAGGCATCATGAGAATCCAGCAGCAGACATGCTTGAAAAGCCTCCCTCGGAGCAGTGAGGGGGGAGCCGCCGCCGCCACCCACAAAGCCTCGGGCGCGTGCGGGCTTCCCGCACTGGGGCACCTGCGGAGCGGAGCATGCTTTGATTGTTCTTCAGTTTCTTTGTCCTGCGTGTTGATTTGACATGGATTCAGAATGCTTTTGAAGGACCTAGATTTCCTTAGAGTCAGCTCTGGGACTCGTCTTGAACTTAATTCTCTTATGGTTTTTATTCCTTCCTTTTCCCTCTTAGATGGTTGATCACGGTACACATGAAGGTGACCTCCATGGGTCGTCTGTAATAAAATATTTATCCCGTGGCTTTCATAAATTTGTTTTCTAGGTTTAGGGAGGTGAGGGACTGAATTCTATCTTGCATTAGAATGGTTTTCTTTCTTTATGGCATCCAGTGCCTTTTTTTTTAACCAATAATAGATTAAAAGGGGGAACAGTTGAAAATAAAGTTGGAAATACTTTAAAACAAAACTATCAGGAGTGATAGAAACTTCACTATATACACATACATACCCACATGTATTTGTATGTGCAAGAGTGTGCAGGTGTGCTAAGTACTCGTTTTTAACCAGTAAAACAGGTTTTTGTGACCAGTTGCCGTGACTCACAGGTTCTTAGTTGTGTAAGCGTGTGACAGGAATATTGCTGGTTCCCGTCCTGGGAACATTTTATCAAGCTGTCCTTTTCCTGGTTACGTCAGAATGAGCTCTAAAGACGGCCCTTCAGACAGCTGATGGAATGGCCAGGACGGCGGTGGTTTTAAAGTTAATGATTCTAGACATTTTCTTGATTATCATAGGAAACTAGTCTTTTCTTTAATCTAGAGGTTTCCTACAAACCTCTGAGAAATTGACCTTTTTATTTGACCTTATTCTGAATCTTAAGAGGATTTTCTTCATGAATATAAGAGATTTGATTGAGATGTGCCAGTAGCCTACTGATAGAATGTATAAAATGCATTGTTTATCATATTATTTTGTCTTGAATTTTATAAAATTTCAAGTATGTTGTATACACTAAAAAGTAAGGTAACTATTTTGTCTATTTTTAATGAACTGTTCCAGTAAGAGAGATGCTTCAGGAGTTGTTTAGAGGCGGGCAGGTACATTTCTGGGCATAGAGGTGTGGGGTAGAAGGTGGAAGTTACTTCCTTTACGTTTTGGACTATGTACTTGGAAAGTTGCTCTATGAATTAACAAAAGTAGGCCCTTTAAAAGCTGATGATGTCTGGGAACTTAATTTTTTTGTGCTACACATCCATCAGTTTTTTAAATTGAAGGATAGTTTATAGAGGGTGTTTACCGAGGACATTTTTTGCTTAAAACCATTGAGCATTATATCCCTACTCTTATTAGCACCCTTGTTGTGGGACAGTGGGGAAGAGAAAGCCTCTGCTATTTCTCATTTCCATTCAACCCTGCATCAGATATTTCCTGGGTGACCACTGTGTCTCAGGAACTAGGGTGCAGTGGTCAGCAAGAGACAAAGTCCTGGGTCTCAGGAAGTTTATATTCCAGGGGAGAGACAGACTATATACATGTTCCAATATCAGATAGTGATTGGTGCTTTGAAAGTAATATAAGATAGTGTGCCAGAGAGACTAGGAGGCTACTTCCATTGAGTGGGGAGAAAATGCCTCTCTGATATTTAAAAAAGAGCCCTGGTTGCGTAGCTCAGTTGGTTACAGCATCATCCATATAAACCAAGCTTGTGCATCCAGTCCCTGGTCAGGGCACATACAAGAATCAACCAATGAGTGCATAAGTAAGTGCAAGAACAAGTCTGTATTTCTCTTTCTCTCCCTTCCTCAGTCTTTCAAATCAATAAATAAAATTCTGTTTAAAAAGCAGAGAAAAAAGCTTTACCGAGATGTTAGAAAGTTAGTTTGGAAATGTGTAGGATTATAAGGAATTACGGAAATACAGTATTCCTAGTGTGCTGCCCGCAGCTGGGTGTGGTGTAGATACCATTCTCTAATGAGAGGAAGTGTAGTGTGTGGGAGAAGAAAGTGTATGAAAAGTTGGTTCAGGTTGTGTCACCAGAAGCTGTATGGTTGTGCATCCCATGATTTTAAAAAACTTGTTCATCATAAACTCTATGTTATGATATTTAAGCTGACACTTGAATGGCAAGAAAGGAGAGGATGGCAGCAGGAAGTAACAGTGGGACTTAGGCAGGGACAAGTACCAGGTGTTGTACAACTGAAAGACCAATGAAATTAGGTAGTAGTAAGAAAGAGGGTGATAAAACGAGAAGAGTAGGCAGAATCCACATTATACAGGACCTGGCAGCCTGAGGTAGGTGACATATATGTGCATCTGCTAGGAGTCTTAAGCTGAGAACCTACCTATACAGTCTGATTAAAAGGTAGCTTTTGGGAACGGGAGTCAGTAGTTCTGTTTTGGATAGATCAAGCTTAAGATGTCCAGTGGACATCCAAGTGGAGATATGTTACGTCAGTGGATTGGGCTCCTACGAGGTTAGAGACACATTTAGGAGTCTCTAGGTATTTAAAGTCATGAGACTACTAGATAAGGTCATTTAGGCAGAAGGACTAAAAGCAGAAGAGGAGAGGCAAGACTGCCATGTGTAGCTGTGCTGACTATGACATTTAAATGCTCTAGAGCAGACCACACTGTGCTGAGCAGGGGGTCCAGGTCTGTCTTACTTTGGTTGGCTGGCCCCCTCTGAGCCAAATCACATGGTTAGCTAAAGCTACATTTATATTCAATTACTAGAACAGAATTTCAACAAACCCTAACTTAATCATCTGTGTGTTTTAATTACTACAATTTCAGAGTATGTCAGGTTTAAGATTTGATTTCAAGATGATGCCTCACTTATGTTGGAAATGTGTAGGTAGCATCTTCAGTTAAGCAAAATGTAGATGAAACTTACTAAAGAAGAACTAAAGTCTCCTGAGCCGAACAAAATGCATACCTTGCAGTCCACTCACAGGATTCAGCACTTTTCTTGTAGAATCTGTCATTCCTAAGATCCTGTTTGTTTTCATCTTAGGATTGATTTCTTCCTAAAACAAGGACAGGATAACTGGTATTAGACACACAGGATAGGATAACTGGTATAGCAACTTCCATTTCGAACAGGCGGAAAATGAGCCCTGGCTGGTCTGGCTCAGTTGGTTGGAGCATGGGGTTTGGTCCCGGTCAGGGCACCTGTGTGGGTTGCAGGTTTGATCGCTAGTCCAGGTGCAGGCACATGTGACTCCTGTTCCGGATGCTGTGATCCTGGTTTGGGCGCCAACTCCCTGTCCAGGTATGTATGGGAGGCAACCAGTCTGTGCTTCTCTCTCACATGGATGTTTCGCTCCCTTACTCTTTTCATAAAAGCAATGAAAAGAAAAAGGTGTCCTTGGGTAAGGATTAAAAAAAAAGAACAAGTGGAAAATGGGAGGCTGTAGCAGTCACTGCTTCATGATAGGTCTGAACTCTAGCCAGGCACATGTAGCCTTTTTTTTTTTAATTAAAGCTTGGTTGTGCTGCAGAGGAGTTGTCCACTGTGATGTGACATTCACACTCTGCTTTCTGGACTTTTGTTTTTTTTCTCTGAGTTTTTCTTCCATTTCAGTAAAAAGCAGTATGTGTTTGCAGCTCAGTCATAGTCCCAGCCTGCTGTTTGCCTGATGAAGATGGGGTTCTAAAGTCCTCTTGTCAGAGTTTAGTGTCTCTGTCCCTTCCAGCCCAAGCTGATATAAACCTTTTAAAAAACTTGGTGGATTTCTTATGAATCAACTTATAATCAACTCTGTTAGACAAAGGCAGCACCCACAAATTGCTTTGAAATAAGCTGTTCCATACTGTTGATGTATAAATGTCCCAAACTGAAAAGAATATAAGACCTTATTTGAGCCAAATTGATGACAATTGCTGGGAAGAAAGATCTCAAATGCTCCTGAGAATAACAGTTTTACAGTCTTTTGTGCATTTGAAATTAAGGCGGGAACTTAAGAAAGACTACATGAAGGAGGGAGAGAGTGAGGTACGAGACAGTGTTCCCTTGAGGGTGGTTACACCTCCCAGGCATCTGAAAAAGAGGATTATTCTGGCATTTCAAAGAGGAGTGAACCTAGATCCAGTAGAACAATAGGCAGGGCTTGCTTAGGGCAAAGATTAAAATTTTTACTAAAGTTACAGGATAAAGGGTGGGAAGTGGGGGGATGGTTGGGGAGGACAAGGCCTGGGAGGAAAATAGAGATAACTCTACTTGAACAACAATAAAAAAAGTTTAAAAAAAAAGTTACATATTTGCCTGGGGCATGACTACCACAGTGACCTGCAAAGTTAGTAATTTGTGATCAGATCACCCTGTGAAGTTCTTTTCTGTAGGACCCTCTTTTTTATCCACCATACTTCAGATTCCTTGTAGGGGTGTTGGAGAACAATGACCTTAAGATTCTTAGAAGAAAGACTGTACTTTCAGGGATCATTTCTATAGTTTGTTACTAGAGAAGTTTCTCTGAACGTGTAGAGCAGCTGAAGCCATGAGGAGGAGGCACAGTGTTTTCTGCTGAGCACAAAAGTGGCTTTTGCTGTTGCTTTTGCAGCTGCCAATAGCCATTGATGATCTTCCTTAGGAAGAGTAAGAGGGAGAGAATGCAGTCCGAGTGGTTCCTAAAAAAAAGACCTTTTCTTAGAAGGTCTTTTCTTAGGAGACCTTCTCCTCATTTTGATACAGGGACATCTGATCAGATGACTGGGTCGGAGTTTGCCTAAGGCACTGGTGAACAGCCTAAGACAGGATTGACCGAGAAGCTGAACACCTCCAGAGCGCATTATGGAATCGTGGGCCAGAAGATTTAAAATAAAAAGAGGGCAGAGACTGGCTCTTGGGCTCTCTTCTTCCTGGAGGATGCCTGGATGAGTGTGCTGCATGTGCTTGTGTTTCCCAATGGACGGTTTTTTGGATGGGAAGAAATTCTGGGTGCAGCCTAGGACTGGGCTGGCCTGGCAGAGGGTGGGAGGGTTACTCTTTGGGTGCTCTAGAGGGAATAGGCTCTGAGGCAGAAGCCTGCCATTCTTCCAAAATTGTGTAGCTTTTGCATCTTAGTCGTTTTAGTTTGTAAACTAACCCTGTAGAAATAAGTTAATTTAAAACTAACAGCAGAATGATAGTAGAACTCAGGTGGTAAAGAGTTGAGCTTCAAGTGATTAAAGCTGTGACTAATTTATGTGGAAAGCTGTTATTTCAAAATCGTGTACTTTTGAATAAAGACTCCTTTCTTTTATCACAAAACCTCTGTCTCCAGAGTTTTGCCTGGAGGGTGGCGGTGGGCAGCAGGATCCCACTGGCTGTTTGGTAACAATTTGAAAGGGTCTGAGGTATCACGTTAGATCTCTTTTGAGGACTTAATAAAGAGTTTTACAGTTGTATTCATGTTTTTCTAAGCACCCTTCATTCAATCTTTGTACAGAAGTTACTTCTTAATTTTTTCCTTCTGATATGGCTAGAGGTGAGACACTTCTATTTCAAACCCAGTAAGTCCTGGCATTTTGTATTTAAGAGTTCTTTTTTTTTTAAAGCTCATCTTTCTCCTCTTGCATTTTATATTGTAGGCAGCAAAGATGCCAGTCTGCACTTTCAACAGTGTGCCTGCAAATCTCCTTATCTGGATCATCCATTTCATTAGGTACATCTTTTATTTTCCATGTTGCCAGGGGCAACAGCATTGCTAATGCCTTCGGATAGTAAATATATGCCTTCTGACAGTAAGGTCTTCTTTCTTCCTCCTTCCAACAGGTTTCTCTTTGCTTCCCTTCAGGGGTGTTCAACCCTTGGCCTGTGAGCCACATGTGGCCCAGGATGGCTATGAATGTGGCCCAACACAAAATCGTAAATTTACTTAAAACCTTTTTTTTTTTCTCATTAATTTTTGTTAGTATTCGTGTATTTAATGTGTAGCCTGAGACAACTCTTCTTCCAGTGGGGCCCAGAGACACCACAAGGTTGGACACCGCTGCTTGAGCTGAGGTCCTCCCCAGCAGCCTCCCTGTGGGCTCTGAGGGTTCTCCTGACATTCTTCTTGAGGTCCTTTCTGCTGTAGCATCCCCAAAACACAATGGAGAGTGGAGGGAGCGAGACCAGATTATGCAGGGCCTTGTAGGCCATCATCGAGACTTTGGGTTTTATTTAGTAAGAAGGGAAACCACTGGAGGATGTTGAACAGAAGAGTGCATTGATCTGACCTGTGTTTTTAAAGAGCTACCAAGCTCTTGGTAGTTTCCAACTACCAAGGTGGAAGCAGGGATACCATTAAAAGAATTGTTTAAGGAATCCAAGTGAGTGCCCTGATTGGGTAGCTTAGTTGGTTAGATCATTGCTGATATGCCAAGGTTGCAGCACCACTTATTTTCCATGTGGGGGGCACATACAAGATGCAACCAACGAGTACATAAGTAAGTGGAACAACAAATCGATGTTTTTGTCTCTCTCTCAAATCAATAAGTAAAAATTAAAAAAGCAAGGTGAGCAATGCTTCTAGACTTTTATAGCCTGGACTGCTACCTTTCAAAGCTTGAGAGAGAAAGCCATTGATTCAGTTTAGTTACTTGTTGTATTGTTAACACCTGGAGTTGGAGTGGATGTTCTCTGCTTGTCAGCATGTCACTGAACTCAGGTCTGGCTGGCTGCCTGCCACAATGAAAGTCAAACTCATGAGACAGGTGCTTGTGGAAAGGAAAGTGGTTTATTCATGCACTGGCCACCTGAAAAGATGGGGGACTCATGTCTCAAACCCCATCTTAACATCTTTGTGCAGGCAGAGGTTTTCATGAGGAGGGAGAGGGAGAACAGAACAAGAGATCCATTCTGATAAGGACCTTGAAACTGGTCAAGCTGTGGTCTAGTGTGCGTCATCCTGGCTTTAGTCATCGTGGTTTTATGTCATCATGGATTTACAGTTGAAGATCAGCCAGTCCTCCAGAGCTGGTATGACTAAAGATCAGAGTGTATAGCTTTTGAAGTTAGTTCCTAGGATTCTTATAAAAACATGCCGTTTATTTACAAACTACATATTAGTCAGAGTCAGCATTTACAGAAACAATGCAGAAAGAATGGTGGGATCTGTTACAATTCCCCACTGTTACAAGCAGGTGGCCTGGCAGTGGTTTGGAGTGGTCCAAACTGCTAGATATGCTTTCTAAAAAATAAACAATGCTCAGTTAAAAAAGAAGAAGAAGAAGAAATCCAGGTGATTAGTGGATGACTTCTTGGAGGTGGAAGTGTGGGAATGTGTCCGATTCTGTTTCTATTTCTAACATAGAGCCAACAGGATTTACAGGTGGATGGAAGAGATAGATAATAAAGAGGTTTTGACCACCTGTCGCCAGTGCAAAAGTGTTATCTGTTTACTGAGTTGGGGAAGACTGCAGGAGAACAGGCTTTTCTAGGCGGGAATAGAATCATTATTTCCTTTTTGAATGTATAGTTTGCAATTCTAATAGGCATTTAAAGGGAGCTGTCAAGTAGGCATTTGGATTCAGGGGACAGTTCTGGTCTGGCTCTGCGTTTGGGAGTTGTCAGTATGTAAACTGCATTTAAAGCCAGGAGCCTTGGTGTTAAGTGTGCACCTGGGGGCAATCCAGCTTTTCCAGGTTAGGGAGATCCTGAGCAGCCAGCAAAGGAGATTGTAAAGGTGTGGCCACCGAGGTAGAAGGAGGAGCCAGGTGTCCTAGAAACCAGTGAGAAGTGCATTGCCAGAACGTGGGTGAAGACCCTGCATCTATCATTAGATTTAGCAGCAGTGCAGGGGTCATTGCACGGTACCGGAGTGGGTGGGTTCTAAAGTGGACTCGAGGGGCGAGAGGAGACAGTACAAAACAGTGGTCCCCTGCACCCCCTTATCTGTTTTACAGTGTAGAAGTGAAATAAGCAGAAGGAGGTTTAAAAGGTGATTGAAAAAATATGGGAGAAACAAAGCCTTGTATTCTCCTAGGAATGATTCTACAGAAAGAAAAACTGGTGCTGGAAGGAGGGCAGGAAAATGCTGGAGCCATGTTTCAGAATAGATAAGGGACAGGCTTAAGGGGAACAATTCATCCACAGAAATAGAGAAAGAAGATAAGCAGCAGCACAGATGCAGCCAGGTTGGTAGACTTGGCAAGAAAGCATGCACGTTCTCTTCTGGTGGCTTCCGTTTTCTCAGAGAGATTATCGAGATCATGAGCTGAGAGAGAGAAAGGAGGAAGGAGTTACCTAGACAAGTGAAAGAATAAAGTGTGGTAGGGCTCTGGATTCCCTCTGGTTATTGATAATGAACTTAAACTGGGCCTGTCTGTGGTTGTGTGAGTTGTTTCCAGTTATGTTCAGCCTGGCGTGGAGAAGGCAGAGAGGTGGTGCTCTTTCTAGTGGCAGTATAGAGGGAGATGGTACAAGGTGATTGAGGATGACTGTTAGTGAATGACTATAATGAATAGAGAAAGAAGTGAGGACTTGGGTGGAGGGGGGCAGGCAGGAGGAACCATGAAAAGATAGTAGGATTGTGGAACTGCATGTCCTAATGTTACAGAATGAACCCGTTGGGGAGTCCAGATACTATTAATGAAACAGTCGCCTCCCCTGGGGTCTTTCTGTATTATGGTTCTTCTTGTCCACTGCTAGGTGTTAGGAATTGTGGCTCTCAATGCAAAAGTTTGGCGAAAAGGAAAGAACTATTTATTCAAAAGTTATACAGATTTAAATTAATGGCAGAATGTTGCCTTACAACACCCACAAACACACATAGTCCTGTCTCCCCTTGCTAAACTAAACCAGTCAGGAAAAGAAATATGTCAGGAAAAGAAATAAATGTCATAGCTCAGCTAGCCTCCTGGTTCCTCCCAGTAATCCTTGCTCAGCTGGGCAGGTCTCCCCAAGTCTGCAGTACCATCATCTGTGTTGCCATGATCTCTAGTTCCTAATCAAAAGGCATGTGGCACCTCTCCATGTCCTGGCAGCAAGAGTTCGTTCACACCTTTTCTTCCTGCATGGTCTCTCATTGTCCCCCCATTGTCTCCCTTCCCACATTGTTCCACCCCACACTGCACCCCCTTCCCCCATCTCCATGTTGTCTTGTGGTGCTGGTGGCCTGCCTTCTTGTTTAAATCCCAGCCTGGAACCTCCTCCATAACCCCATTTCCATTCCTCTCACAATCGACTACACCTGCCAGCACTCCCATATTCTCTGCCTTTCTTGGCTGCCATAGTAAGTCTGGGTAGGCAGGGCCCTATGGAGTAGAGCGAACCATCTCCAAGCTCTCGCACAGGTGCTGTAACCAGGGGGAGCTGCCTCCCCACTACATCACTGGTCAAACTCAAGCCCATTTCCCTAGCTACCCTGCTGTTGATATGTGAAATAACCTTTTTTTGCTTATGGGAGTGAGGCTAGCCTGCTGTTTCTGATATGCAAAGTAACTCTCGGTGGCCCTGCTCCATGTGTCCCATCCCACAGCCAGACATGTGTGGGGAGGCTGTCTCAGCCCACACCCTGTTACACTAATGGAATCAGAATATGAGGGTATAGTGAGCTGAGAAGAGCTGGTAGTTGTGTGTAAAAATCTTGAAATTGAGGTTTTGCATTCCTATTCGGACAAGACTGTAGAGCATCAATCTTCAACCAGTGTGCCACAAGAATT